CCTGTGTTCTCTGGAGTGTTTGCTCCACAGGTAACAAGCTAGGTTTTATTTTTACCTCTTTTCCTTTCTCTTCTTGAGCTCACCAAATTTGGTATCCCCACTGATGACTCTGGTTCCTGGCTTGCCAGATACTGCAGCTTGGTCATAACCCCATGGCAGGTATCTTACCAACCCTACACTTTAATTCTGGGAAGACAGTAAAGCACCCATGCTGATAGAACAATGGTATCTTGACCCAGCTGCATAAAGTATTCTCATCCTTCAGAGACTGGGAGCTATATGGAATCTTAGAGGTCATGGACTCCAACCCTTCATTTTATAGAAAGTGAAACTGAGGTCTGGAGGGGTCATAGGATCAGAGGGTTAGGGCAGGAAGAGACCTGAGAAAACCCTCATTTAAAAATGAGGAAACTGAGGCTCAGGGAGGTTAGAGAACTCACCCAAGGTTCCACCTGCGATGAGTGGTAGAGGTAGTGTTTGAACCCTGGTCCCTCAATTCTCATTAGTCCAGAGATGATCCATCCCATGTGCTGGAAGCCTTCTTCCAGGTCTTTTAACATGATGATGATGTTCTGAAACCAGACATCATCATCGATTGTTCTGAGAATTGAGGCATCATGGCTCTGGTTTTCCTCTTCTTTCTCTGGCTTTCTTGGAAAGGATCTTTTTTTTTTTTTTTGAGTCAATAAATGATTTAAAACCTTTCACGATCTGGCTCCGACTGCTTTATTGCACATTACTCCCCTTTATGACTCTCTGGTCCAGCCAAACTGGTTTTATAATTCCTCACACAAATCATTATCTTCCCACCTCCATGTCTTAGAACAGACTGTCCCCCCTGCCAGTAGTGCATTCCAGGCACCTAGCACAGCTCTGTCATGATGGACCAATGGGAGTATTTTATACCAATGGGGCCCACCTTAAAGCAGCTACAACACCAGCTTTCCCGCCCCCAGCACAGTAAAGCATCCCCCTCGGGGGTGGGAATCTTCAAGCCAAGGCTGGAGGACTGTCGGATTCTAATGGCATTCCTTTTTGGTAGGACTTGAGCTAGATTAATCAACCAACAAGTATGTACTAAGTGCCGCCTATGTGCCTGGCATACAGATACAATGAAATAATCCCTACCTGCAAGGGGCTTACATTCTAATGGGGAAGACATCAATTGTTACATTTGTGTTTGGATAGCATAAATACCAAGTGTATGTGTGTATAAATGCGTGTGTATACACACACACACACACACACACACACACAAAGTGAATACATGTAAAGTAGCTTCAGAGTTGGGGGAGGGGATGAGGAGAAGCTTCCTGTACAAGATGGTGGCCAAGCTTCATCTTCAAAGAAGGGAAGGATTCTTAGGCAGAGGTAAGAAGAGGGTGGATGGATGGCTAGTGCGGTGGAGTCCTTCCAGCTCGAAAATTCTGTGATTCAATGATTTTGAATTCCAATTTCCCCCATCACATGTGTCACTGTATGGACTGTTTTGATTTAATCATTTTTCTTTGTTAAAAGAGGGCTCAATGCAGACAGGTAGGGGTAGGGAGGGGAAGGGAAGGGAGGCACCTTCAGAAATGACTTATTTTCTAAGAAAAAGCATGACTAAACCTTATTTTTTAAAATGAAATCCTTCAATCACATCACTCCCCTGGAGTTCTCAACCTCATGTCATCTGACTCTTTGCCGGGTATCATTATCTTCAATCAGACAAACAACAGTTCTTTCCACACCGTAGGAGTGCTGGCAAACATCTATGACTTGGAATGAATTTTGTACACAAGATGGTGCACCTGGTACAACCAGCTATGGCAGGGGAGGGTAAGAAGGTACCCAGGACACTTTTAAGTTTAATCCACATATTTCACATTTTCCCCATCATTTTCTTAAGCCTAGACAATCAGTAGAGCAATTGATCACACCCAGATTTGTAGGGTTTGCTGATTTCCGAGGTATAAATGTTCATACTGAAAATTGAATGATGGGTTCCTGAGCTGGCCAGCACACCTGATTCTCCCTACAAACCTCCTTCCCCCATTCATCTCCTATCACATGGAACTAATAACACTCTGCCCACTCAGAGTGCCTTCGCTCTTCTCTGCCCAGCCAGAATCCTACCCATCTCTCCAGGCCCAACTCATGCTCCCTAACCATCCCAGGAGACAGCTATTTCTTTTACCTCTGACCTCCTACAACCCTACTGTGTTTAATAATAGCACATGCACATGTGCACTTGTGTACGTGCATAAGTTTAAGGTTTCCAAAGCACTTTACATATTATCTCATTTGATGTTGACAACAACTCTGTGAAGTGGGAAATTAATAGATGGGGAGAGGGGGAAACTGAGACTGAGGTTAAGGGACTTGACCAAGGTCACACAACTAGCCAGCAACTGATGTAGGATTTGAACTCGGGTCTTCCCGATTCCAAGTTTAGCACGCTATGCATCATGCCGCCTAGCTGCCCATTTCCTGAATCATGGCTGGACAGAAAACCAGCAATCTTCTAATGAAATCCCTTCCTTCCACTGGTGAGAAAGCTGTGCTCCAGAGGAGTGGGGGGTCTTGCTCAAGTCACACAGCTGCAGGGTTAGATGGAGTCCCAGCTGCAGACTTCTGTCTATTGCCTCCACTGCTGCTCATTTGTATAGACTTAACTCTGCAGGTGTTTGTCTCCCCTCTCACTCCACCCTCAATTAGTCTGTAAACTCCCTGAGGGCAGGAACCCCATCTTAAACTGAAACCCCAGAGTGCCCAGCACTCGTTCTGCTCCTTATAGGTGTTCAATCTACTTGAACTTGAGTCAAAGTTATTCTTGTACCAAGGGTAAACTTTCAAAACTGGCCACCATGCATCACTGCCCACAGGATGTCACTTGGTGTCACAAAATAAACACCGATGACGTAAGAAGCAGGACATTTCCTGGCATTAAAAATATATGCATATAAAACTCACATTAAGATTCATCCTTTGTAGTATCCCAATGTGTGGGGTGCCCTAGGCAGCTGCCTCCCTTTAGTCTAGAATCTGCCAGGTAGATAAGTGGAGAGGTCAGAAGTTTACCTAATTGTACTACCAAGCCCCCCAAAGGGGAAGGGCAAGGGAACTGGGTGAAATGAGACCCTGCCATATAATGTAGTTGAAGGAACTGGAGAGATTCCCCTGGAGGACGGAAGATTTAAGCATGTCGTATCCTCGAGTATTTAAAGGGCTGTCACATGGAAGACTGATCAATTATTCAATTTTGCCCCTATTGGAAGAACCAAGAACCAAGGTGGGAGTTGAAAAGAGGCAAACTGAAGCTTGGGGTCAGGGAAAATCTTCCTTACACTTGTGTGCCATATAAAAGTAACATGACTGTATGAAAGTATAAACACCCCTATTCAGTCTTTTAAAAGAAAGTGTTAGAAATGATGTCTCTTTCTTTTGTCTGAATGGTAATCGTATGATAATTTTCCATGGGTGTAAAGGAAGTTGGGGATGAAGGGGGAGAGATCCTTAAAGACCTTAGATTTTATTGACTTTTTAGGTGCATCTGATAAAGACAGCCGGTGAAAAGCATTGTTTCTCTATACTAGGGAAATGAGAATCAGATATATTTGCTTCTTATAGGCAAGAGCAGAGATTACCAGTGGTAAGGGCCTTAGAGGCCGTGTGGTCTACACCCCTTAATATACAGATGAGGAAAGGAGACTGAGGTAGGTCAAACTACTTGCCCAAGGTCACAGAATTAGTAAGTGGCAAAGTTGGGGTTGGGTCCAGGGTCTCTAACTGCAAATCCATTGTACTTTCCTCTGTAAAACACTCTTTCATGGCCAAAGCTCCAGTGTTAGATATCTAACTCTGTGCATAAGAAACACCAAGGTTGGATTCCACAAATCCATTCCTGTAGCTAAGGGAAGCGCTTGTGGAGACAGTCTAAAGTGAAATAAGCATTTGGTTTACTTCGATTATCTAGTCATATCAGAGGAAACTCTTTTGGTGGGGATTGCTCTAATCAGGGGTTCCTTAACCTGGGCTTAACCAGCACTTAGCACAGTGCCTGACTGTTCATAAATGCTAATTGCCTCGCTGACACACAAGCTGTGGTCTCTAGATTTTAACTGTTTTTTTGATAACTATTCCAAAACAATTGGCTTCCTTTTACCCTTTATACTTTATAATTTAAAAACATTCTGAGAAGGAGCTGCAACACAGGTTTCATCAGATTGCCGAAGGGGTCTAAGCATACAAAAAAATCAAGACTTCCTGCTCCAAATGACAAGGAATTGTCCCAACTTTCCACTTCTGTAGATACTGTTGTCAAAAAAAAATTTTTTAAAGTTCCAAAAGCAAGCTCAAGCTCGTGGGAAACAGGTCCGTAGTGGGGTGAGCACCTCCTGGCCACTCTTCACACCTCGCTCCCCTCTCTACAACACACTCCTCCTCCCTCCTTCCTTCTTTCCTCTCTTACCCCCACCAATTCCCAGGCTTCTCAGTCCAGTGATGGGGGCGATCCCAGCCTGTACCAAGCCCCACTCTAGTCTTCTGGCCAAACTCATCCCCCATCCTCCATCCCCCAAAGAATCCTAGCACCACCTGGGGCAGAGGATGGAAACCTACTAGAAAAAAACAAAACCCATTTCTCCACTTAGCCGCCAAACCTCCCCCTCTCCCACCCCCACAAAGGGAGGAAGGGCATCTATTAGAGAAGGAAGTTAACACTCCGAATTCCCCTCCACTCTCTTTTCCTCCAACTCCTAATAGTTACTATTTAAAAACAAAAAAGGTAACCTCCCTCTTTCCCTTCTTCCTCAATGAACTCCCACCCTGACAAACCCCCCCAAATCATCAGCTCGGAGCAGAGAGAAGGACGCCTATTTGGAAAGAGCGGACAAGCGCCGCGGTTGACCAGCGAACCCGAGCCGCCACCCTCCAGGGCTTGGCCGCTGTCCCAGCCCCGCAGGAATCGGGGTCCCTCCCGCCCCGCTTTTCTCAGCGGCCGGATGGCGGGCACTTACCCCGAGGTCCGCGTGCCAAAGTCACGGCTCCTCTGGCTTCTCCGCGGCTCCCTGGCTCCGCTCCGACCCGGCCTCCGCTACATCAGCCCGGGGTGGAGGACGCGAACGTTTGAGGGCGGGAAGCCCGGGGGGGGGGACTCTAGTGCCGGGGCAGCCCCGATCCCCAGACCCTGGCCGTCCCCGCTCCGCTCAGCCGGAGTTCCCCTGAAGCCGGGCTGGGGGTAAGCGCTTGGCGGCTGCCGGCGGCTGCGGGTAACTAACCAGGACCAGGTGGGTGGGGGTGTGAATGTGACAGCGGTAGGAACGAGTAACGAGCGAGCGGGTGGGGCCGACAGCCTGGCCCCTTCCCAGGGGCTTCCCTCCCAGCTCAGAGGCTCTACTTACGGCTCTCAGACCCGTTACTAAGAACCCCTGAGTACCTGTGTGGGGCACTAGCCTGGGCGCCCTGGGACCACAGCAGAGCTGTAGCATTTAGGCCCTGCCCTCAGGAAGCTTACGGTCTAGGGAGCTCTCAGGAAAAAGCTGGCTCTGGGTAGCAGAGGAGACACCGAGCAGGCTGGAATGCTCTCCCTGGTTACCTCGGCCTCCCTCGGACAACCCCTGCCTCCTTCGAGGCCCAGCTCAAGCTCAGCCTTTCCAGGTGTCCCAAGCTCTTCGTGCCCTCTCCTTCATCAAAAGTCCAAGTGTCTTCTAGTCGATCTCCTCTCGGGTTAAATAAAGTCTACTCTCACGTGCCCATTATCTCATCTGAACCTCAGACAAATCACTGAATGAGCACACATTTTAAGTACAGACTGCATTTCAGGTTCTGGGGATTCCACTCAATAAGGTGAGAACGTGTTCAGGTTTCCCACATTTTACGGAATAAATAAACCCTAAGATTGGGTGATTTTTAAATGGATATGTGTTCAAATCCCAACGTGTGGTCTTGGGCAAGTCCCTGGGCCTCAGTTTCTTCATCTGTAAAGTGGAGGTTGGGCTAGATGGCTTCTTAGGTCCCTACCAGCCCTAGTTTTGATAGACAGAGGCTATTTTATTATCCGGCTTTGAGTCAGAAGGTGTAATCCAACCTCAACACTGGAGTGACCTTGGCCAAGCCCCTTACCCCCGCTCAGCTTCAGTTTTCTCATCTGTTAAATACAACAGATAAAATAATTGGCATCTCTCTCAGCGTTATTATGAGCTCAAGGGAGACACGTAAAGCATTTTGCAGATTTTTAGTGCTATATAAATGCCATCTCTTATTGTTATGATTATTATAATCAGGGAGGAAGAAACCGAGACTCAGAGGTTATGTGACTTTTCCATCCACCTCTGTTGATTATTTCCTATTTATCCTGGCTTGGAGACTCCCCCATTAGAGTGAGTTCCTTGGGAGCAAGGCTGGGTTTGCTTTTCTGTGTATGTTCATCTCTTAGTGCCTGGCACATAATAAATGTTTATTGACTGACTTGCTAGCTACCACCTGGGGTTGTTATGATGATCAAATAAGGTAATATATCCTTTTGGGAATCTTAAAGCCCTATGTAAGGGCTTCCAGCTAGCAAATATTCAAGCAACGATTATAAACTCAGGTCTTGCCTGACTCCAAGTCCCTGCTGGGTAGAGCTCTGGACTTGAAGACACAGCATTTAAGAACTGTGTGACCTTGTCTAATTCTCTTAACCTCAGTTTCCCCCTCTTCCGCCCAAGGCTGATGTGAGGAGCCAATGAGATCATGTATATAAAGCCCTTAGTGAACCTTGAAGCTTTTTGTAAATGTGGGCTGTAATTAGTGCCGTCCCACTGACACACATTTGGCTTTCCTTTCCCTCCATACTTCAGAATGCCCTTGAGTTAAAATGTTAGATGTGGGTTATCAGGGGAGACAAGGTAATTCTATTATCCAAAGGCAAAGCCTCATTAACCCAGTCTTCACTAATTCAGAAATTGAGAACATTTAGAAGGGAAGCTGGGTTGCTTTACTTTTATTCTTGGCAAAAAAAAAAAAAAGTTTGTTAAGCAAATTGAAAGTGTGAGATTGTGAGCATGATAACAGCAGCTTGAAGTTCTACAGAACCGAGCTGACTCAAGTCCTTCTCTCGCCACAACCTGTCAGGTAGGTAGGCAGTGGAAGTGGTAATGCCCCCATCTTTCGCGTGAGCCTTCCACTTCTAAGAGGCTCTGAGGGCTTCAGTTTAGCCAAGGGACACTCAGACTCAGGTGTCTTGGCTCCACAGCTAACTCACTTCTATTACACTCGGGGTGTGCAGGAGCCAGCTGGAACCTGCTTATGAGGGCCAAATGTTAAGTTTTCAGCGTGAGTATACCTCAGAAATCAGCAGAGGCTACAAGACAGGGCTTGATTCATTGTCTGACGGTCTGAATTTAAGAATGTGACCAAGAAAGTTACAATAAAGTATTAAACTTACAGGAATGTTATTGTATGTACATTATCTCCCTTGCCCCCAGCAAACTGATTGTTAAACATTTACCAGAACACTCCTGGTTATGTCACTGAATTAATAAAAATAATTTAGGAGGCATTGTCATTTTTATTATAATTGCCGTGAATAACAATATCTGCACTTCCTTAGGTCTATCGATCTTCATTTCTCTGATCTTTTATAGTTATATTCAAATAGTTTCACTATCCGTCTTGGTAGTTGGACTCTGAAATGTTTTATACATTCTTTAGTTAGTTTAAATGAAATTTATATTTCTATCTCTTCCTGCTGGGTTTTGTTGGCAATATATAGATGGTGATGAATTGTGTGTCTTTTAAATCCCATTACTTTGCTGAAGTTACTAACTATAAAGCCCATCCCGTAGCCTATGATACCATCTGCAAGAGAGATACTTTTGTTTCCTCTTTACCTTTATATTCATTCACTTAATTTCTTTTTTGTTTTTATTGCTATAGCTGGCATTTCTAGCACTATGTCAAATAATAGTAGTGATAATGGACATAATTTTAACCTCTGATCTAATTAGAAAGGCATCTAGTTTACCTCCATTATACATAATGCAGGTTCTTGGTTTTAGATAGATACCATTTTTGTATTATAAGGAAAGACTCATTTATTACTATAATTTTCTTCCTTTTTAAACAGAAATGGGTGCTGCATTCAGCAAAAAAAAATTCATTCATATGATCATGTGGTTTTTATTGTTTATAGATTATTATGTTTATAGTTTTCCTAATATTGGACTAACTTTGTGTTCCTAGAATAAATCCTAGTATACAATCTTTAAAGTATATTGGCTTGAACTGTATGCTATTTTATTCAACATTTTTGTATTGATATTCCAACAAAACTGCTCTCTCCAAAGTTACTAATGATCTTAGTTGCCAGATCCAGTGGTCTTTTCTCATCTTCACTCTCATATTAATTTGGATTATTGGTCTATAGTTTTCTTTCTCTTTGATTTAAGTATCAAAGTTATATTTACATCACAGAAAGAATTTGGATCCCTTCTTTTCCTATTTTTTCCAAAATAATGTATTCTTTGAATGTTTGATATAATTCATTTGTAAATCCATGTGGTCCTGAGTTTTGGGTGGGTAGAGTTATTTATGGCTTGCTCAATTTCTTTTTGTGACATTACATTCTCCATTTCTTCTTTTGTTCACCTGGGTATTTACATTGTAAATATCCACCCATTTAATTTAAATTGTCAGGTTTTTTACATATAATTGGGGAAATAATCTAAAATAATTTTCTTTATTTCTTCTTCATTTGTTTTGAACTCTCTCTCTCTTTTTTTTTTTTTTGGTTAGGCAATGGGGTTAAGTGACTTGCCCAGGGTCACACAGCTACTAAATGTTATGTGTTTGAGGCCAGATTTGAACTCAGGTCCTCCTGAATCCAGGGCCAGTGCTCTATCCACTGCACCACCTAGCTGCCCCCTGTTTTGAACTCTCTTTATAAAATTTTTGGTCCTGGCAATTGGATCTTCCTCTTTCTCTTTTTTAATCAGATTAATTGTTTATCAATTTTTAAAAATTTATTTTTATTCTGAACTTAAGAAATAACACAAGCATTTCCATAACAAAGTAGACTAGAAAAAAAGAGGATGGCGCATGAAACTGCAAATCTATTATGTACAATTTACTTTTCCTTTTAAATATATAATAAAGTTGTCATGTAACTTTCCTTTTTTTTGTCCCTCTCCCCCTTGTTCTAGAGATGGCTAGCATTAGACATAAATATATATGTGTATATATGTATATGTATTTATATGTATATATATATATTTATATGTAACCATGCTATGCATACCTCTATTTATCAGTTCTTTCTCTGTATGCAGATAACATCTTCCTTCCTAGGTCCTTTGTAGTTAATTTGGGTATTTATAATAGTCAAAATAACTTGGTCACTCAAAATTGTTCTTAAAACCACATTGCTAGGGGCAGCTAGGTGGCACAGTGGATAGAGCACTGACCCTGGAGTCAGGAGAACCTGAGTTCAAATCCAGCAGACACATGATACTTACTAGCAGTGTGTCTCTGGACAAGTCACTTAAACCTGACTGCCTTACAAAGAATAAAAACAGAAAAACAATACTGCTGTTACTGTATACAACATTGGGCTCTGCTTGTTTCATGCAAGTCTTTCTATGTTTTTCTAAGATCACTGAGCTCATCCTTTCTTACAGCACAGAAGGATTCCAACACAATCATGTACCACAACTTGTTTAGCCATTCCTCAATTAATGGGCATCCCTGAAATTTCCAGTTCTTTGCCACCACAAAGAGAGCTGCTATAAACATTTTAGAACATATAAATTCCTTTCCTTTTCCCCTAATCATCTTTGGAAATAGACCTAGTAGTGGTATAGCTGGGTCAAAGGGTATGGGCAGTTTTATAACTCGTTGAGCATAATTCCAAATTGCTCTCCAAAATGGTTGGATTAGTTCACAGTTCTACCAACAGTGAATTAATGCTCCAGGTTTGTCAATTTAAAAAAATAAATTGCCTTCTTCTTACATTTATCAATTGAATCTACTAATTTTTTTTGTTTTCAATTTTATTAGTCTCTTAATTTTAAGAATTTCTATTCTGGTTTTTTTAGTTATATATTTTTTTACTTGTTGATTTTAGTTGCTTTCACTTTTTCATTAATGAAAATGTTTAGAGATATACATTTTCACCCTTCAGATTGCTTCGGCTGCATCCCCAAAGTTTCACATATTGTCTCATAA